TGATTTTGATTTTTTCCATTCATTGTTAAAAAAGAGGTAGGCAGACTGCATGGTGCCCCAACATGTCGAAATTGGTCATCAATGTAGAAAATACTGTTATTATCTGCGACTTAAAGCGGTACGGTATAAACATGGCATCGACAAAGGGGTCTTAATGCCCGTCTTAAGGTGTTTTTGGAACTGGGACTCTTTTTGCTCCGAGGAACCTTTCTGCGCGATTACCCTGCCTAATTAAGTTTCTCTGTGCTTCTCTCTAAGATTTTACCACAAAGGGCGGGCTGGATGACACAAGATGCGTCCCGTGGTTAAGTAAAAAGGATCCGACGGGCGTGGACAAGTTTCGTAAACAAGATTTTGTTAAAGGAAAAAAGTGAGTCTTTTTGAAAAAAGTCCTCGATCGTTGACAAATTATCAAAAATATATTAAACAAACTCAATAGTCAAAACGTAAGGATTTCAGCGTAAGTACACTGAGAAAAAGAAATTGTTGATTCAAACGAAAAATGCTTAAGTTAACATGTTTGTACATATTAAATACAAACGATTTTTTAAGTTTTGCATGTTGAATTAAGCATTTTACAATATTGAATTACTAATTTTCAAGTACTTGACCAAAAACGTTAACTCCATCAAAGGAAACAATTTCAATTCTTGAATCAATATTTCGTTTTATACAGTTTAAATAAAATTAAACTTTAAAGCAACCAAAATGGTTATTTACAATAAAATATCAAATTTGTCAACGTAACATTTTCTAAATCTTATTTTAAAATATTTATCTACTTGTTTTTTCAATGCTCTCAAGTATTTGTAAATTTTATAATTATTATTCTAGATTTTTGAGACCTATAATAATTATCATAATAAGACAGTTGCTCGACCATCTTGGATTTTGCTCAAATTTTATAGAAATATTCATTAGGGTCCCAAAGGACAAAATCCACCCTTATTTAATATTTCGCTTGTGTCAAATCCGGCCTATTCGAATTAAAACTTTTTAAAACCGTAATTTTTATGCTTTAATAATTTAAGCTGTAATTTTGTTTCTATTAAAGATATTTTAAATTTTAAGATTTCATTTTAAAGCTAAAAAATAGTAGTTTTTATAAAAAAAATATATATTTACTTAATCAATATTTCTAAATAATTACAGTGCTGAAAAAACGTGTATTTTACTAATTTTTCGTGATTTTTAAATGCGTCCCATGTCTTGGCTGTTTAATATGAACAGCTAATATTTTTCATATATTAAGTTATCAAAGACAAAATAAAACTTACAATTGACCCGTTTGGCATACGGTTTCCAAAAAAAAATTGCTTGAAATTTTGAAAATCTAGAAAATCGCATTATTTAGGTCATTATATGAGGATGACTTCCAAATGGAATTATGAAATTTATAGGATAATTAGTCCCTACATTGATGTTCAAATGCCTGGTAGTTTGGTTTTGTTATTTACATATTTGAAGCTTATACAAATATGAAATTAACAGGATATTTATTATATTATTTATTACCAATTTAACTTGTTTTGATATTTTCATTTATTTTGCTTTTACATGGGCTTTAAAAGCAATTTAAAAAACGATTATTGTTTAATTCTCTATTCTTAGAATGTGTTGACTTCAAGATAGAAACATGAAACTTACAGGATATTTAGTCCTTACTATATATCATATATGATGTTTAAATGCCTGTTTGGCTCATTTTATTATCTGTATCCATTTAAATATACCATGATACTATTGCTCTTTTTAAAGCATCTGCATATGGCAGGTTATTTAAAAGGAGCAAAAATACCATATAATTTTATGGTATTTATGCTCCTTTTAAATCACCTGCCATATGGTCTAATATTAGTTAATAACTTGTCCATAATACTTCTTCTTCTTCTAAATGTTTTGGCCTTTCCCTTCCAGGATTTAGCCATGGTCCATAAATAGTTAATAAATATAATTAAAAACATAAAAACTTTTGCAACTTTTTCTCTATTCATTTTTAGAAAAATGTGTATTTTAAAAAACTAGGTACCTACCAAATTAAAAAAATATATTTTAACTAAAAAGTCCCAGAGTGAAGCATGCCATGTCTTGCTTAGAAAGGAATTAAATTAAAAACGTCGGTGTAAATATTAAAATACAATAGTGGTTTGTTCTGGATTTTTTCGGAGATAAATATGTTTAGTGACAAAACCGAGTATTATAAGTTTTTACAAATACCAAAAGGGAAATTCAATTTAGTTCGACCAATTAGCCTTGGCAATCGCTAATTAATTACAATATCAAAGTGGGCCGTAATCGCAGGGTGTATCCGGGCAACGGAACAAAAGTCGCCGATAAAATCGCGTAACCAGTCGTAAGCAAACAAACGCACGTGCGCGCATTCAAATAACAAACGCAAGTAGGAGGATTATTTTATCATCTGTACCTATATACCGTCCCGTAGATATATCTAAGTGGATAGAATGCGAAAATCGACAATTAGACCATGCTTAGCGAAGGGGTCAGATTAAATTCGGATTTCGATCGTGTTTTTCGAAATAATCAGCTTATAAAAAGGGGGTTCTTTGTATTCACTATGTATATTGTACCTGTGTTTGGGTACTTTGTTCATTAGGCTAATGGTCGATTAAGGATTGATGGGAATTGACAATTATCCTTTTTTTAACGCATGTATTTATTACGTCAATTACACAGACTTGCATAATATGCACATTTTGTGACATCACTTTTTTACATAAGAAATACTTTTTCTACGACAAATACTTATTATTAACTTAAAATGATTTAAATCAAAATTTTGTATAGAGCGCCATCTATGAAACAAAAGGGAAATCTGTGTGTCACCGTCAAATGTCAAATTTTTATATTTTATAAACACATATTATAAAGGTTATAAATCGAAATGTATTTCTTGAAAATTGACAGTTTTTCACAGTGAAAGTAAAGAAAATGTTTTATGAGCACTTTACAGTGGAGTCCGTGCCCGAATTTAAGTTATAGATTGCGGCCGGCGAAATTAAAAGGTCAGTACAATGTTCATATAAACTTTCCAAATATTGGCGTTGAGAAACTATTTAATACTTTTGTATTTTTGTTTTGAGATAATAAAATATTTTTCACATTAAGTATTATTTTACAAGAAAGGCACTTTATTTTAACGATTGTATGACATTTGACAACTGTCAACTAACTTAAAACTAACTTCAGCCCGTGACTAAAAACCTGTTGCTAACTTCATCCCGTGACTAAAGCGCCATAAAGCCACAACTTGTCAATGTGTATTTAAAAGGTCACTTAGTGTCATGAAAACATGTACGATAAAGGGCGTTTTAAAGGTGGGAGTAGAAAAAATATGTAGAAATTTACATAAACCTAGTTTTTATAACATAAATGATATATCTATGTTACTTGATACAAAAATTATAATAATTAAAATCTTAAAATTTTAAAAGATTTAACAAACATTAATGTATTAGAAGGTCCTACAAAAATAAGAATTTGCTAATTTTCGCCTTCTTTCGATTAAAATCGGTAACCGCGTTTAGTTAATTCGATTAGAGGTTCCTAATTGTAAGGTTAAGGGTGCTTTTATACAGCGTGTGTTTAACAAAATTTAAAGGTAAGATTGCTATGATAATGTTTTTTTTTTACTTACGTAACGTTTGTATCCCCAGAAATGTTTGAAGACCGTTTACCCTATGGCATGGAGTTGTATTTTATTTAGGAATACAAAAAAAGGACTGGACTGTGCAATTTTAGTGATTTGCTGGTCTTTTTTTAAAATTATTTTGTAGTATAATAAATTATTATTATTACATACTCACATGTTTTATTTTTTGTCCAAAAAACAATGTTTTTATATTAAATTAAATATTTTAATAAAATAAATAAAAATAAACAATTATTATTGTAAAAATTAATTAAAAAATATTGTTAAAGTACCTAACACTTTTTTGTGTAAAATAAATAAAATATAAATAAATTTAACATAATTAAATATGTTGTGATAAAAATTAACATAAGTAATAAAAATCAAATAAACTAAAAAAATTGAGTGGACTTTCTGGGACACAAGAAATATGTTAAAAATACATATAATTTTTTTACTGTGTACAAATTCATGTTAAAAAATCTGATTTTAATAAAGTGTAAAATGTTTTTTTAATTGTTTAAAAATTAATTTAAAAAAAACATACTCCGATTTTCTCACCATTTATTTATTTTCCAAACGCATCTCGCTAAAACAACAACACCCTCGAAAAAGAAACCTCATCCCCTTTCCAGTCGTTTGTTATCTGGAAAATACAGCGCGTCTGGATTGGGGATGACCGTCCCGGAATTCCGGGGTCGGCGGGAGAGAGTGTGTTTCGGGGCTCCGGAGTGCAAACAAGAGATAAGCGCCCGATGGAGGACCCTTCACTAACCGGAAAACTAGACAACTCTATTAGCGAAACGTTGCGTCGATGTTTATTTGTTTTATCGCGCCACGCTCTCGCCGGAGCGGAGAGTGGCTTTTTATTTTCCGGGGATAATTGACACGCATGTTCTCGAGAGATAAAGTTACCGATGCGAGCAGGCTCTTGTACCGGAAAGTGAAGAACTAATTGAAGTAAACATTTCGGACGTTTGATGGCACTATTTATTTAGTATTTATGGGGTTTATTTTATTTCACCCTTAAATTTTTAATTAGCCTTCTCTATTGACAATAATGAATTATAATTATATTTATAGTTTATTTGTGTTTGTCCTATTGTGTATTAGTCCTTCGGAGGGGACTTTAAGCCCGCGGTCCGTTCCTACCCCTAACCCGCACAAGCCATTCAGTTGGCTTATGGGACTTCTTAAGAAGTAAGGGTGGAACTAAAAGAGCACTTTTTTTTGTATTAAGTTTTGATCTTATTTTGTATGTTTTCAAACGAAATCATAACCTAACTTTACCTTAGTTTATTGAATAATGAATTAACAATTGTTGAGTAATAAAATTATTTTATGTACTTACCCAGCTGTAAGGCTGTTTGGCCACATTTACTTTGGTCCCTGTAACAACAATACAAATATAATATATAATAATAACATATAAATTATTTTTTAAATATTAAATTAAAATGTAATGTAATGATATCATTATCAATGAAATATTCAGGGGAACATTTTAAAAAACCCTTGTCATATTAAGAGATAGGTATTCTAATCACTAGACCATACAGGATATTAAACAAAACTTGGGTATTATCATGATAATACCCAAGTTTTGTTTAATATAAAGTATATCCTGTATACATATTAGGCATATAAGGCATATAAGGCAATATTTTTCTTATTTCAAATTCATGTGAAATTCTTGTCACATGCTGAAAAAAAAATTCTGTCAAAATTTGAGCTCTTAATATAAATTTTAAAAGGTCCATCATCGAATTTAAAGTTTTCCCATTGATTTAACATGGAAAAATAGTTTTTTAAGATTTATTTCGCCTGCATGCTATGTAGAACTTTTTTTTTTGAAAAACAATCACTGGTCCTTTTTTAGCAATAAATTATACACAATAGTTATTTGTGTACCAAGGCCAAAAAGTGACTTATTTTCGTCCGAGTCTAAATTTAATGGCCGAGGCGTTAGCCGAGGCCAGAAAGAAGGCGAGGACAAAATAGCACTTTTTGGCAGTGGTGCACACAAAATTTTTTAGTCGACCTTCATTAGAAAACTTAAAAAATCGTATAGTTTTAATTTTTATGATTTATTAATATAATAATTATTTCACTGTTTCACTATTATTTCACTATGTTTTCACTGTATTTGTTAATTTTCTTATTGTTACACCACTGCATGAAGATATTATAATGTTTCTTGTAAAGTTCTGCCGATTTTTTAGGCAGCAATTCTAACCTAGCAGCGTTGGCTTCGTTTGTTATATCAGGAGGGGTGTTGAACATTTCTACATTACTCTCGTCACTGCTGTACATGTTTGTTGACAATAATTATTATAAAATTAGAATACTGACACGTTTTTATTACACTTTACAGTTTGTTTATTTGGTTTTATTTAAAATTCTATTTTGACATTGTGGGTAATGTCAATACAGTGTTGCCAACCTCTTCGAACATTTTATCGGTAGTTTCTTTGGAAATTTTCGGTAGATTTAAATATATGTGTAATTTTTGGTTAAAAAAATACAAGTAATAGAAAAATATTTATTAAAAATAAAAAATCTAATAAAAACAATAACATATTTAACTCATGTTAACATTGTGTTAACATTAGTTGAATATTTATAAAAAGAAATGTAACAAAAAAAAAGAAAATTGTAAAAAATACAAGCACAAAAAAATTGGTAAAATCATTTTTAATCACATACTAGTAAAAAATATATAATACTGTTGTCTAAGTATAATATTTTTATGCAATTTAATCTAAAAAAACGTTATTTATTTGGATTATTGCAAGATTTAGATTTTCGGTAGAATATTGATGTCTATCGGTAGATCGGTAGAATTTTTCAGAAATCGGTAGATCTACCGAAAATTCGGTAGGGTTGGCAGTCAATATCATTATGTAGTATGTAAAATAACCGATAGATGGCGCCACCAAAGGCGGACAATAATGCAGGCGGACGAAAAAGTGTTATTTTTCGGCCGCTTTTGAGGACTAAAAATCCCCTTTATAGTTAAGGTCGACTATAGTCGATATTTTTTATAAAAAATATCTTACAGAGTCCAGCCTGTAATATTAATTTTAAAAGGTCCATCATTGAATTTAAAATTTTGCCATTGATTTAACATGAAAAAAAAAAGGTTTTAAATTTACATCTTAAGATGTATTTTGCCGGCATACTATGTAGAACTTCTTTTTTTGATAAACAATTACTGGTCCTTTTTTAGCATTTAATTATCTACAAAAAATCTTATAGAGTCCAGTTTGTAGATTCAACTCTTTCTTTTTTATTAACGATGAAACGTATAGATTAAAAAAAAATGATATTTTTACATTTAGCGGCTTAAGTACAAATCGTAGAAAAAAAGTCAATTAGCAATTTTGAAGATCGTTTAATGTTCTAGAAATTTGTTTTGAACAATTTTTGCAAAATTGTCCCTAAACTTTTTTTCCTACAGTGAATATTATAATAATATATTATGCATAATCATGAAAATGGGATTTTAGACACTTATAACTTTTGAACTGTAGGTGAAAATTGAAAAAAACGAATTTCTAGAACATTAAACGATCTTCAAAATTGCTAATTGACTTTTTTTTCTTGTTAAATCAATGGGGAAATTTTAAATTCGATGATGGAACTTTTAAAATTAATATTACAGGCTGGACTCTGTAAGATTTTTTGTAGATAATTTAATGCTAAAAAAGGATCAGTGATTGTTTATCAAAAAAAAAGTTCTACATAGCATACAGGCGAAATAAATCTTAAAAAACTATTTTTCCATGTTAAATCAATGGGAAAACTTTAAATTCGATGATGGACCTTTTAAAATTAATATTAAGAGCTCAAATTTTGACAGAATTTTTTTTTTAGCATAAGTGACGAGAATTTTACATGAATTTACATACATATATGGTCCGAATGCATTCGGCGATTACACTAGTTTACAAAATCGAAACAAAATTCTGCCCACCATATCCCCTTATAATTTTTCCATGTATTTTGACCTACTAAACACGAAAATCACACCCAATTTTTTTTATGGATGCGTTTATGAAATATGAATTTTCAATTGTTTTTTTTTCAAATTTTCGGAGGTGTTTTGACGTTTCTGAGTATAGCTTGAAATCTAATTGATCGATTTGGTCAAACAAGCCTGAAATTGAAGGTATTTGAATCCTCTAAAACTTTCTTTTACATACTTTTGATATCGGATAAGTATTTTGACGCTAGCAATTTTAATAACTTAAAAATTCGTTTTTATGGCAAAAATTGAGGTCGAAAATTTACATATCGTCCTGGGAAAGGTTTAATCAAACAGATAACTCCAGTTTGAATTTTTTTTCGTGAAGCTGACATTTTAATATGTTTATTCTTTAATTAAAACCTAAATAAAGTGCATGATTGGAATTTTTTGAGTTTTTTACGTACTTTTTTCACCGAAAACATTATTCAAAATTTAAATTTGACATGACTCCGCAAACGTAAATTCTTTTGTTTCTCGTGTTGGCATAGTGACATTTTACTGCTATTTTTTGATATTTCAACAAGGTATTTTTATCATGGTTTTATTTAGTTAATAAAAAGTATAAAATGAGTAAAAGAAGTAGAGTTTGAGTGCGTAAATAACCCGGACAATCTGGGCGACGTAAGTGATGAGCACGGAGAACGTTTTCACCAGCAAATGAAGTCTATGGAGCGGCGGTATCATGACTTCTGGGATGCAGCCATGATGGGGTATTACATTTGGTCCCTCATACGAGAAACGGAATACGAAAGAAACAAAAAACAAAGGAGCCAGAATTTTTTTAAACCTATTATTTCAAAATTTACATTTTTGGGCAAATAAAGTAAGTACTTTGGTTTAGTAAAAAATGCGAAACAAAACAATCATACAAACTTAAACTCTCTTCAAAGACTATTATCGCTTCCACTCGACAATTCGGACATATTTCCAATCCAACAACACGCAAAGATTTCCTAGAAAGCCGAATGAGCAATAACTCTTGGCACAATGCGCTCTCTATTTACACAAAAAATTCATTACGCTCACTTGATTCCTCTCGCGCGTTCGCCCCCGCCTCCTCCAACATCTGCAAAGCGAACGAAAAAGGAACCGAGAGAGAGACGCGATGAGGATTAGTTGTTGCACGAGTATGAATATCGGTTTTAAAAAGTACATCCCATTTAATGAGCCTTGTATATTGCCGGGTCCGTTCGTGTGTAAGTAACGAGCTCTTGATTCTTTTTGCTTGAAGAGCCGCCCCAACTTTCATCTATCTTTTTACACAATCGCAACGATTGTTGATTCCTTCCTCCACATTTAGTTCTTTCTCTTCTTCTTCTTCTTGTTGTTGAGTTTTGGATGATGCTCGACCATTCATAAATTTATAATTGATTGAGAATGAGATACACAGGAAGTTCCTTGTTAAGTATTGCAAAGTTTTTTTGGTTGATGAGTTTTTTTATATTTTTTGTACTTGCTTTGGAAAAAGGTACCATTATTGTATTTAATATTGTATACTTTGTAAACCTAAATCAGTCTCCCTATTTGATTTAGAGCTCTATAGATTTTAAAAATATTTCAAAACTATCTCAGTATACTGTACCTGAAATGTATAAAAATTGCAAAACTCATTATTGAATCTTTTGAAGAAATTACCCTGGATAAAAATTTGAATATTTTTGCCGTACACAGTAATAGTTATTTATGTCATTAGGTTAAGAAGTAAGGCTTTTTTTGCTAAGCTCAAGGTTTGAATTGAGCGAAGAACAAAAAGGCACTTCTTGGCCGAATGGCATACAACATTTTATCTTCAAAGCACTTTATATACATAGGTCAATTTAATTCAACATCAAAGCGGCCTAACCTCACTTTTTTAGAATCTCATTTATTTATTAGCTAAAGATTACGTTAAATGTACAATAATTATTATTGCTTTTAGAAGCAGTAATAGTTTGACAATACCTAGCAACATGATTAAAGTAGAAATGGATTTTTGCTATTACATTGAATTCAATTAATTGTTTAATAAATAGGTAGGTATCTAATTTTAATTTGTTTGGATTTTTATTTAAAAAATAGGTAGTTTGGAATGTTTAAGCTGTGTTTAACATTTAATTTCACTAAAAACTTAAAGCAAATTAAAACTTAAAGATAATTTTAATCGTAGAAAAAGAATCGTTCGTTTTCTTTGTTGCCTAACCTCACTTTTTGTTTTATTATTCATATTTAATTTTACAATAATTTAATGAAAAATATTAAACATTAACAGTAAACAAACAAATTAGTGCTTATTATAAATAAATTAAACCAGTTTAGTACGTTAATTTCTTAGAAAAGGATTAATTTGTCAAAACAATACCCCTAGCGAGAAAAAATCGAACT